TATTTTGAATGTTTTTAAAGAATTGTAACGATTGGCTCGATAATTTTTTTTAAATCGACTCAGTCCTATTACTTTCCGGACAAACCCTGTACATGATCATCAACTGCAGTTGAGTGAAAGTGTAAAGTGCTTAGGCATCTATATTGATGATTTTTCGCTTAGGACAAACACGTATTCGAACTGCTGAAGAGGCTTAATTAATTCCATTTGCTTTGGTTTTAGAGTAACATCAATATATCTAACAATTCTAGTTTGACGGCCATACTTACCTCAATTTTCTTCAACAAGTGTTGCCTTTGCTGCTTGATGATGTTCCGTTAGTAATAAGAAACAATATCTGGTACATGCATGATGGTGCAGCAGTGCATTTCAGTGTAGCGGATCGTAATTATTTCCAAACTGTTTATCCAAATCGTTGGATTGGCCGCGGTGGGCCCCAAGAATGGCCACCAAGGTCCCCAGACCTCAACAGTTTAGATTTCTTTTTGTGGGGCTATCTTAAGACACTAGTGTACAGAAGTCCCATTAACACTGTAGAGGAATTAAGAGAAAGAATAGTTGCAGCTTGTGATAGAATAAAAAACACTCAAGGGATATTTCAGCGAGCGCGCAATTCCATGAGAAGGAGGGCGGAAGCATGCATACTGAGTGAAGGGGGCCATTTTCAACAATTTTTGTAACCATTTCGTTGGTTTTAATGTTTTGTTTAAGTAAAGAAACATTTTTGGACCATAGTTTATAGAGCAAACTAACATTAATGTTTCATGTAGGTGCACACCCTTAAATATTCGCATATCATTAAGGAACACCCTGTATATGCCATTTATACGTATGCGTGTCTTATATTTAATTTGACCCGGAAGTGTAAACTGTTTACGATAGGTACTCGAACAGTTAATGTTACTTATCCAATACATAGATTATCCTCCACAGAAAAAAGTTCACATGTGTTTAAAATTTTTCAATGATCTACCAAATGAAATTAAAAACATAAAACACAGTTAGAGCCTTATACCATAGATGAGTTTTATGTATTATTATTATCATTATTATTGACACCCTATATTAATGACTGAACTATCCAAGAGATCGAGTACTTATTGTGAAACACCCTGTTTGTTATGTAAACGGAAAATAGTCGTTAAGCCAACTGAAAATGTAGATATAACAATATTTTTATACATAATATTTGCGGCTTCGTTTTTAATTCCCGGTTTATTTTTCTTTGATGGTCGAATACACTGTATAATAAAAAAGTTAGGTTTATTCGTTTGTGGACACAACTTTCTGATTGAGGCTGGTAATTCTTACTAATGGCCTAGTCGGCAGAGGACTTTTGACACCGAGAGAGACCGGGTACTTATTCCGAAACGCCCTGTTTGTTATGTAAACGGAAAATAGTCGTTAGGCCAACTGAAAATGTAGATTCAACAATATTTTTATACATAATATTTGCGGCTTCGTTCTTAATTCCCGGTTTATTTCTTTTGATCATCGAATACACTGTATAATAAAAAAAGTTAGGTTTGTTCGTTTGTGGACACAACTTTCTTATTGAGGCTGATAATTCTTACTAATGGCCTAGTCGGCAGAGGACTTTTGACACCGAGAGAGAGACCGGGTACTTATTTCGAAACTCCCTGTTTGTTATGTAAGCGAAAAATAGTCGTTAAGCTAACTGAAAATGTAGATATAACAAAATTTTTATACATAATATCCATGATATAAACAAATATAAAAGAGTATGCTTGAATGAAAAACGATCTTTAATAAATATTGTCTATTTACTTCATACATGCATCCTTCACGCTATACAACTTTCTCAATGAATATGGAAGAAAATTAGGAAGTTATATCATTCCATCATGCAATCACTTTCCGTTGTAGTCATTCAGATCATTCTACCAGAAAATTATATGGAACAGGGTTAGTTTTCCGATCAGTTCTTTCATTCAGTTCTGCATACGTATTCCTATGGAACTTATAATGTTTGTTTCTCCGTTATTTCATGGCTTGGAAGACTCAGCTGGACTGAGAAATAATGGTAACATAGATACTGGATTAATGATTTCGCAGATCCGGGTCCATTTGAGGATTTTTGCAATGGCAATCTACAGAGTGTCCGCAAAGTTAGGGTTTTCCTTTACACGACGTGTAGATCTTGAAAACATAAGCAATTTTTCTTAGTACCATATACACCAATGTCTTAAGGGAACCGAGATAAAGGGCTCTGCAACATCAAAAATATCTGAATACCGTCCTGTAGCCGCGACATCCCCCAGTGGTACTAGGACACTAGCTCAACCCGACGACAGAACTGGGTCGGGGTCAGTGTGTCAGGTCAGTATGCAACGTTCAACCGACGGTTACGGTTACGCGTGAAGAGGTAATCGCGTAGACGAGAATCCCTCAACAAGCACTAGAGACGTGGCTAGAGAAGTGCAAGTATCAAAAACTAAAGTGTGGCAAACGCTGCGTGAAAAGGGGCTGTATCCGTTTCACGTCCAACGTGTACAAGCCCTTCAACCTGACGATTTTCCAGCAAGAGTGCGGTTTTGTGAGTGGTTGTTGCATCAACATGACAATAATCCGGACTTTCTGAAGTGCATATTGGTGACAGACGAATCTACGTTCACGCGTAATGGGGTGAATAACTTTCGCAACACTCATGTTTGGTCAGTAGAAAATCCGCACGCTGTCCGTCGGGCACATTTTCAACAAAAATTTTCGGTGAATGTTTGGGCTGGCATGGTGAACGGTATGCTCATTGGACCATTTATTCTCCCAAATCGATTGGACGGGATGCAATACCTAGACTTTTTACGCAACATTTTGCCTTCCTTGTTTGCCTGCGTCTGCTCGGTAGCTGATTTCACTTTCTGTTGGAGCGGTATGATTTCGGGCAGAGACGTACTTAGCCCTTCTCGTCAACTGGAGAGTGAGTACTTTTTCCTTTATTTTTTTTTTACTTGGTCGCCCTCGTTTCACTACACATTACCTTTGTTATTTCAAGGGTAGTTGTTTCTGAAAAGGAAAACCCAAACTTTGCGGACACCCTGTATATGTATACAGGGTGTTCCTTAATGATATGCGAATATTTAAGTGTGTGAACCTACGTGAAAAAGTAATGTTAGTTTGCTTTATCAACTATGGTCCAAAAATGTTTCCTTACAAAAACACCCCGAGTTTCTGTAAGGAAACATTTTTGGACCACAGTTTATAAAGCAAGCTAACATTAGTTTTTCATGTAGATTCAGACTTAAATATTCGCATATCATTAAGGAACATCCTGTATATATAAAAATGAATCCCTATTTCGGGTGGTCACGCCATAGCTTGTGAACGACTTTACCGATTTCATTCATCTTTTTTTAAGTTTTTTAATGCTGTATAGAAGGTTCTTACGGAAAGAAAAGTCAAGAAAATTCCGCAGAAAATTAGGAAATCACAGTTAGCTTAAGCATGGAATAAAACCATTGCGTCAGTGGAAAGATCAAATTGACCACCACCAGAGTCACTACAATCATCGGTTTACAGAAATGGGCCAGATTCACATTTTTTTATTCATATCCAGCAACACAATAATTGCTTCCAAATGACGTCATCTGGCACAACAAAATTCATTCCACATTATTTTATGCCTACTTTCAAGGTAAGTTGACAGCGCTTCCAACGTATTTTGCCAGCCACATGGCGGTACAAACACTTCGCTATACAATTACCTACATTCCATATATTTACCCCTTTATTTTTATTATTCATTGTTCATATCTAAGACAAGACAACGTTTGTCGGGTCAGCTAGTAATAATAATAACATGCCTTTATTCGATTATTTGACAAATACATATTTTGGGTACTAAAAATTTGAAATAAAAGAATCAAAATGCCGGGGTGTTACCTAATGGTATTTATTTAACGCAGCCATAAAATAAAATTACAAACATGAATAAGAATAGAGTCGTAAAATAATAAATACATGTGATTTGTGACAATTGCCTAATAATGTTTAAGTTTATACTTATACAAACATACATGTTTAAATTTTAGTTCATTTAATATAAAATCGTAATGCCCATATAATATGGCGTTAGTTTCGAAAAGAAACTAATCAGAATCTAACTGATGACGGAATTGCGTGGTAAGCGCAGACTCAACATACTTGTCGACGTTTTTTATTAACTTCACGTCCACGCTGTATGTTCTGCTTGCGGCTTGATCTGTTGAGCTTCAACTCAAAAGCATTTAAATTTGTGTTTTATTTGGACACGCACCTTTCTTATACCACCTGCAATGAACCGGTCCACTTGAATGTTAACAGTCTACAGAGGTGTGTCACTGAATGGACCTCATATTATGAAGGTTTTTCCTTATTTGAAGATCCAGTTAGGGTACTTAAAAAATGGCGTCGAGTAAGTTGACTGCTCTTCCCACGCAACGCCGTCATCAGTTTATAAAGGATCTTGTTCGGCACAAATTGGGACCTCTCAGAAAAAAATACATTGCAACCCGCTTGTAATCGACTCGGCGGTACTGACAAATAGTCTATCATTTTCCAATTATTGTGAACTTTTCGTGTAAAGTGAATGCACGTTTCGCACTTTTCGACATGTTTATAACTCTAATAAATACAGTATAACACTGGTGGCCAAGTTAGAAGGCTCTTTTTGTTAAATGTTTAATTGTTTTTTATTTCAATTACCGTTTCTCTCTCCCGTGTAAATTATGTTAGGGTTGGTACAAAGGCCGACTAGGCGATAACATTCTCAACGACATACACACATTTTGGACCAGGACATCTCAATCTCAAGAAAAAAATGCTTTGAAATTTTATATGGCTTTATATTCTGTCAGTAAACGAGAGGGCTCCTGACCCAGACGAGCAGAAACTGTTGTTTATTAAACGTCAAAATTGAGAGAAACCTCCAAAATGAGATCTTATAAATATGTACAGTTTCCAATGTCGCCTACTTTCGGGTTCATTTTTTCAGTTTATTTCAGTATATCCTTTGTAGTGATGAACATCAAATATGTTCAGCAGTCTTTTTGAAAACCAAAGGGCTCGTCAATAAACCAATTATTCTGTACACTGTGTAGCAAATTTGTACATCTGAAAACCGAAGTTGCCTCTCATAAAAAATAATTGAAGGGCATTACAAGAGAATTCCAATCATTGCTACTCTCAGATGTAACCTTCGTGGCATAACATATATGGTATAGATGGTTTCAATTACACACACATGTTGCATACATATAGAAAAGTATCAAGGAAGCACAAATCGAACGAGATACGCTCCAGGGAATGCGAATAACATACGATTCAGGCGTATCCTTTTAAAATATACATGGTGAGTTGTTGGTGCGAACATGGCTGATAGTCAGTGCTTTTTAACCTCCCCCCCACTTATTTTTGAAACATGAATACTCTATTTTAAGATTGCGGCTCTTTTAATTATAATTAAATTATATATATTATAATACATTGTTACTTTTTCATCATTCAACGTGTTGAACATTTTAATACCCAGGTACAATGGCGATTGATGACCAATCCTTCATTTATAATTTGCCACTGTCTAGTTATTTTCACTATGAGTGAAATAATTGTCTTAATTCTGCGTTTGACTATTTACTTATTAGTAATATTCAAAAATGGATTAAGCGCATAATAGCCACGACAATTGTGCGCCTAATAAGCCAAATACGGTTTTCCATTATCGTTATTTTTTTCACTACTAACCTATGATATATTGCCATGCTTTGAAATTTAGCATATCTGAGAATTTCTTTAACGTCCGGCAACGCTGTCAAAATGAATCCAACGCGATATCTACATTACAGAAAGGTGCGTAGGGGATGGACGCTATCAAGTATCCTGGAACTTTCCAGCTGTCAAAGTGATGCGATAAGTAGATGCAATCAACAACAATTTCACGTATAAAATAACAAAAATAATCTTTATCTAGACAGGAATGTATAATATTATGGAAAACGTCATTGGTACTCAGAAGTAGATGCACAAAATCAGTATATAAATGTATACATACTTTTGATAATTTTAAAGAATATAAAAGCATTACTAAGCAAAGACGAATACATTGTTAAAAGTTATTAGTAGTAGTTAAAACAAGAATGCAGCACTTATGCTAAAAATTCTTCAATGCTATAACATTTTTTTAGTAGGAAATTCTTGAGTTTTATTTCAAGCAAATTTAGACTTTCAGAGCACTTTTTCATCATTCAACGTGTTAAACATTTTAATACCCAGGTTACAATGGCGATTGATGGTCAATCCTCCATTTATAATTTGGCAGTGTCTAGTTATTTTCACTATGAGTGAAATAATTGTGTCTTAATTCTTAATTCTGCGTTTGACTATTTACGAGTACACAATACTTATTAGTAATATTCATAAATGGATAATACGCTTTTCCATTATCGTTATTTATCTAGGGGGAAATGTAACTTCTCCTTATAGGAATGGCGCTCTCTTATCTTAGTCGTAAAAAATACATTTTTTCTTCGATGTGTACTGATATCAAAAGCAACTGTGCATTGTGCTAAGTACGTCCCTGATTTACCATTAATTTACAAGCAAAGGAAAACAATGAAAATTCTTCATCGTGGAAACCAGATATTCAAGGAAGTTAAATTAACCCAGATATGTTATTAATTAATAAATTTCGTAATCTAACTGAGATAAATATCGAGTGAATCCTTTAATTTCATGCTTACTGCCTTTCTTATAGGCGACCGAAGTATTGTGAGAATGACAAAATTGTAGTTATTCTTCCACATATTAATGTTCTCGACCTAGACCATCCTCCAGTCTGTCTGTCGACCATCTAATTCTTGTCCAGAGGTTGTAAAGTACCACTCGCATTATGATGAAATTTTGAAAACCTCATTTTTGGAAATAAGTTCAGTGAGAAATAATTTAGATCGAAACGATGAAAAATGTTCTATTACAGTACGGCATGTCCATGGAAAAGCTCTACCGGGTTGCCACGTTCACTACCCCACGATTTCGCAAAATGGCATCAAGTAGGTTGATTCTACACTACCACACATGCAGTGATATCAACTTGATAATAAGCCTGTTGAGTTTAAAAATTTGAGAATTGTATTTAGTGTGTCTTATCATAGCGCTAATTAAATAATATTCATGTTTTGTGCTTATTTAGTCTCATTAGTGACGTACATGCATTTTGCTAATGGGCGGCTTCCGAAATACAGGGTGTTTAAATTTACTTTCTAAAATAGTTTTTTTTAAATATTTCGAACAATATTTGATGTATAACAGTGAAAATTGGTATACAAGGGTTTTTTGGTACGACAAAACGAACCATGAGCATAGTTTTACTGTAACCGCTAGAGGGCGCTCTCTACTGTACCTGTAGCGTATTAAAATGACCGACAAATTTTTCTTAGTGCGATTTTTTGCTTCTTGAATAAAAAAACTGATTCTTCGCACTTTTCAACATAAAAAAGC